ATGTGGGGGCGAACCGGGGGTCTGCGATCTGGTGCCATGCAAAAGATGCAAATAACGGCACAGAAGTTAGATCGGAAAATAGAGTTTACTTAGGGGCAACCCCTTCGGGTCCCCTCCCACTGTTGGAGCTTTTCTGTCCTCTCAATAAATCCAAAGTAAATCAGAGCGAGAGAGAGAGAGGGAAGATTCACCTCCCCAAGGTAGGGGAGGGGGCCAAAGCTTATACGGTAGCCATATCTCAAAAAACCACATGGCCAGACCAGAGCTCAGCAAAGCAATGGGGAATGCTGCTTGAGGCTGAATGCTTTAAAACCTTCCCTTTGGTGGGGGCATGTCATTAAGGTGATTGCATGGTGGTCTTTTTCACATCATCACAAAGGGACAGGTAAGCACAGGAACTGACATCAGGTAATGGACGGCAGGCAGATGGGTGGGCCAGTCACATGACTGCTGCCATGCTGATAGGTCTGTCTGTGTTAGGAAGGTCGCCACAGGCTGATGCGGCTAACTTGGATTCTTACGGCTGAACAGAAAAGCTAACTAATACAAAACAAGCCCGGGAAGGGTTAGAAAACAATTATCGAGAGCCAGCTCTGAGAAACCGGTTCAGTCCTCGGCTAGTGATTAGAGGGTAAGCTAGGTGATGCTAAGAGAATATGACAAACAGGCAGTGTCAAATGGCTGTTCATTGGTTACACTGACTCCATCTTGTGTCCTTTCAAACACCTGTATGTTTAAGTTTGAATTATTTAATTTCACAAAACATTTACCGTCTCCCGGGCTCCTCCCAGAAAACTTCCACAGATAGCTCAAGGATCTTTTTACTTAATCTTTTGTTAGTTTTCTACTTTATTCAAGTGGAAGCACATGATTCTGGATGAAAAGATGCCAAACTCAATGTGCACATATTTTAAGATGGTTTATTCGGGCCAATGCGAGTGGCCAGGCCTGTGACACCCATCCCCAGCAAGTCCTGAGAATATGTGTCCACCGTGGTTGAATGGCAGTTTTGGAATGTACAATTTAGGAGGTCAGACGTTACAAGAAACCGAATCAATACACGTGAGATTTATACTGGTTTAGTCCAGGGAGGCAGGACATTTCCAAAGAAGGGCCTACAGGCTACAGGTGGATTCTGAGATTTTCCAACCGACACCGAGTAAGCAGAGTAATCTAAGGAAGTCTAAAAGCAGGAAGGAAATACACAGCTTGAGGAAGATGAGGGAGTGAGTTTCTTGATATGTACTAATAGATGAAGTTTTATGGGTGGTGGTAGACTTTAAACAGCAGGCAATTGTTTTAAAAGATGCCAGAGTGCCCCAAAGACAAAAGATCCCAAAATACTTTGATTTTCCTTCTTTTTCTGCCTGTCAGGTCGGAGAGATAATCACATTAAAAGTTAGGAATTTGGCAAGGAAATTTTTTTTAAAAACCAGAGTTTGGTCATCCTGCTAAACACTGTTCTATACTTGCTTTTCCCCATTTACTATATACAGTAAGTCCCTTACATACCAACGAGTTCTGTTCTGAGAGCTATTTGTAAGTCCAACTTGTCTGTGAGTCCGGCAGTTAGCCTAGGTACCCAACTAAAACAACTGGTTCTACAGTACTACACTGCAATAGGTTTAGAATAATTTTCACACAAATAATACATTAAAACAAACACAAAAAATAATGAAGCCATTTATAATCTTATAGTATAACACACGACAATGTACACATAAAATACAAACTAACTTACATGATTGGACATGTGAAAATGTTTGCATCTTTGAACGTTTGTGACTTGAAGGTTTGTATGTAGGGGACTTATGGATTGGAGATTGTTCCATAACAAGACAAGAATGCCTTCTTCTTTTAAATATCCACCTGTTTCCATTATATGAGTATACCATGGAGGAAGGGCAGCCAGCATAGCTTATTCATCGATAGATAAGTTTCTTGCAGGCAGCTCTAAATTAAAACATGGCAAACCTTCAGACACCTTTCTTTCTTTCTTTTTTTTTTTTTTGAGTTGGAGTCTCACTCGGTCGCCCAGACTGGA